CAGGGGTCCACCTGAGAGCAACTCTTGGTAGTGCTGCTGGTGGCATGCGCAGCACATGACCAATCCATCAAAACAAGCTTTAAATCCATTGAGTTGATGGACCAAACGTTAAATAGAAGCTCACTTCTGCAAAAGGATCAAATTTTAGAATAAAGAGCCACTCAAAGAAGAGGCTACAAGAGCACCTACATGCGGAGGTCATTAAGTCTCAAAAACTGCAACACTTGTGTCTCTCTTATAAACATGAAGCATTCCAGAAAGTAAAACACAAACTGGATTTAATAGAACAACCATACCTTGATGAAATACATTCTCGCTAAGGACAAATGTAAATGATCTATAGGCACGCATGGGAATCTTTTGTTTGTAGGTGATTAAATTACCATCCAACTGACGCAAAGGAGTCCTTGAGTTTTCTTTCCTGCTTTTTGTTTGCCTGCTCCTCCAATTCGCATTTCCATTCCTAAATATATACAAGCAGCTTGTCCATAAAGAAGTCTTCCCTTCCATCCCTTGAAATATTGCAAATTGCTCTCAAAGCCCTAAGCAGTGAGTTCACAGTTATGGAATGTGCTCAATCAAAGTTTATTTCAGAGTCTTCCGAATCGAAACCTAACTCTAACTCCAGTGATGAAAAATTTATTCTAACATGGCTCCTAGGCTTTTAGGACAAACTTCTTTATTTGCTGGTTTTTTTTGTATGTCTCCAAGTCTCATTTGGGAATGGTGAGACGAAAGAAACTTTAAAAAAATTGCAAATTTGACCCAAAAGCCTTGGATCCATGCCAGAATATTGATATATGGAACGTGGCTTATTGAAAAGGCTTGACACCCGTAGGAAGCTGTATACAACGTACAGTGTACAGCTGTAATTAAGCCCAGCCGAGGTCTATATTAAATGAAATTTTATGGCATCTTCATTGTGGAGTAAGGGCAATCAAATTCAGCCTTAGAATTGTTGTTAATTTTACTTCTTTTTAATTTATTTGCAGTTTGCAGCAAAAATCCTCTGTGAAGACTGGGGAAGCAAGATACAGAGACCCAATGAAACAAGGTAACTATGCAAACATAAGTTAGGTCATGCAGTCACTTGTAAACACTCCAACATTCACTTTCTTAGCTTTGAGAAAACAAGTGACTTACATGTACCATACGTGTACATTTTACAACTCTGTAGACTTTTAAATCTTTTTTTAGCCTTTCCTTGCATTAGACTTTTATATATTTATATAATCCTTTGTCCTTTTGTTGTACAATGTGTTTTTCTCCAACAGTTGAAAGTGATCATGTGATGAACAATCAAACTGCACCTTCTGATATAATCAGTGATGTTTTGACGTCCGATGAAGAGATGCGGAAACAGAGAAAACTTGACCAGAAAAAAAGACATGGAATAGTCCTTTGGCGACGTCCCATTGTAACCTTGACATACTTTTCTTTTGAAATGGGAATTCTTTTACATGATTATAAAGAAAGGTAAATGATGCTCATTCGGGCAAAATATGTTTCTTGCCTTTGCTTTTTTATGGAGATGGAATTAACCCGGTTTGGGATTTGTATTGTTTGAATTGTTTGTAATTTTCAGAATATTGAAACATAAGAAGACTGTGACATCTCTACTGCTGATCTCAATATTAACCACTCTTGCTTATAACTTGGAGGGAGCACATCAAGAGGTAATTCCAGTTACAGTGTACAAGGTGTCATTGGCATTGAACCTTGATAATTTATGTAGTGTATTTAACTAAATGGAAAATAATGTACATATTTTACTTTCAGGCTGATCCTTGAGTGAATTGTTTTTTTGCTACCTGCACTTATGCATGCAAAGAAAGTTGTGTTCAATAGCCCAGGGCTACTAGAGGATTTTCCCTTTGTGTTAGTCAGGGCTTCTGATAGGTCACGGAAAAAAGTTAAATGTTGCGGGATCTTCAGAGACAAATTCGTGGAAAAAACTGCCAATTTTGCAGGAAATTCACAGAGATTTTTGAGGCAAATTTCGCTGAAAAGCGATTGCTAAAAAATGGCCGATTTCATGAATTTTCAGTTTTAATCCAAGAGTACCTGGTAGTTTTTGGTTGTTCACTCATTGCAGTGACAAAGTTTCACAATAAATTTGCAAGTTTATGGCAAGTAAACAGCCACAACAGCCAAGATATAGACTACGAGTAGTCCCTCTTTTGCTTTAGTCCATCGTGCGTGACACGAAAGAAAACTGCAAGAAAAAAATGGCCACGCGAAATCCTGGAGGCAAGCAGCGCATACTCCTCACCCCCAGGATTTTGCGTGGTCATTTTTTTCCCACTGTTTTCTTTTGCGTCATGCACAACAGTCTAAGCAAAAGAGGGACTACTCGTTGTCTAGCCAAGATAAGTTTCAAATATGTTGTAGCAACATCGATGTATTTGGTACGATTTCTAGTGAATTTTGCGTTATTTTGCGTGTTTTTGTGAACTTTGTGGGATAATTCGCAGATTTACATGAAATTCATGGCTCCACGACCGTGCGAATTATCAGAAGCCCTGGTTAGTGGATTCTGACCAACATTTACTTGCTTGAAGGGCAAGCCAGAAAATTGTTGCTCTTTTCAGTCGGCTCATTAGTAGTTTTTATTACTGGTACATGCTAGGGTTGCAACAATACAATTTCTCATGATACGATACATATCTCGATACAAGTGCCACACCACGATACACGATACGATATATCATTACATGCAACTGACAGCTGCGAAGAACGGACAAACCATGGGTGCACAAGACTGTGTCAGCTGACAACTTATTGGAACTGTGCATGCTTTTGTGCCACCATCTTGAAAGATACAGTGTACGTGACCAGAAGCACGCAAAGCAATACAAAGCAAAGATGGAACTTTTTTCCCTTTCCCAGGTCCCTTTTTTTAATAAATAGCTCGGAAATGACTTGGACTTGGGTAAGGAGTTGTAAGAGTTAGTCATTTCTGAATGTTGAATTTTTTGTTCATGAAGAATCACAATATCATGATATTGTGATATCTTGTCATAATATCAATATTCCTATTGTGACAAAAAATATCTTGATTCACCAAAGCATCGGTGTATCGTTGCAGCACTAGTACATGTATGATGTACACTGATCATTAAGTGCTGTGATGATCATTGTGGACTACATAGATCTACAGTACTAGTAAGAGCGTCTGACTGATAACACCTGAAAAGCAGACAATGGATTCGGAGGCTTCCCATTCAACCATAAAATCTGAAACTTTCAAAACTGGTGCAAATGGTCTAGAAATTTCCTTGACAAATTGTCAAATTTCTGAAACATGGACCATTCAACTGGAAATTTTGAGAGGAGAATCAAATGGAATGGAAATTCCTGGTCCAAAATTTGGGTTTACACACATACCTTGCAAAACTGTTCTCTTTTCCAAAAATGCCAGAAAAATAATTCACTACTGGAAATTTGCAGAAATTCAAATGAGACTGTTTCATCAAATGGAAAGCACCCAGTACTTTCCTTCTGGGCAAGGGAGTGACCAGAAACTGTCCAATTTTTTCTCATGTAAAATTGGAAAGAGTCACCTGGGTGAGAATGAGTTCTGATTTTCAATCCTGTAATCCAGTTAGCTGTTAGACTCTACTTATTCAAATTCGATTAATGAAATTCCCTGTTATTTGTATTTTGAACTCAATATTGTTTCTCTTGGATTTGCCCTTCAGTCATTTACTATTGGCTATTTCGAGCTCCCGCAATTTCAAAGGACTATTTTTCATCTCCCCTGAGATTTCAAAATAGCAGGGTTGAACTGTGCAATGTTGTTATTACTTAAGATACATGTATCTGCCATATCTTTGAGAACCAAAATGTAGGGGTTGAGGATGGTACAGTTTTAATACTTGCAAAATAATGTTACTTGAAAATGATCCATAAGGATTATGGTTAATTTACAGGGGGCTTATGTTAACACTTTCACATTAACTTGGACTTAGCACTGTACATAAATTGTTTGCAGTCCCTCAGCCAGCTGAAATCTGTGTTGTTTTGGTGGGCATACTGGGTTGGCCTTGGGATTCTCTCATCTGTTGGACTTGGCACTGGACTCCATACCTTTCTTCTGTATTTGGTAAGTGCTTGCTAATTTTAAATTATATTCATTAGCACTGTACATATGTACACATATTCAGGGCTGTCAGTAAGTTTTGAGTCAACAGTAGCCCAATACATGTATGATCTTCACACCCGTAACAAACTTGTTACATTTTTAGTGAATTGAATCAACTATTGTCCAGTTCACCCATAGCATCAAGGGCCTGTCAAATACACTCAACCATAGCAGGTGTTACAGGTTACAACCCTCATTGACAGCCCTGCATATCCACTGAGCATTGTTAATATTTATTTTCAGTTATTTGGCTTCCATTATTTTGCATTTTTGGTATTGTCTTGCTGCTCATAATTTACATATTAACTTCTCTTTGTCAAACTTTATATGAAGATTATAAACTGTACCATGTTCAAATTAAACTTACATGTAAGCAACTCATGACGATGGAGGGAGACACATCAAGAACATGTCTTGCCATTACTGCTGTGTGGTTTCTTAGAACATTATCTTGTTTTTTGTTGCTATGAAACTTAATCTACATGTACATGATTGTATAATTATGTAGGTGTGGCAACTTTGTAATCTACCTGTAAAAATGTGTTCAGATGGACAGACAGTCAGGTATACAACATGTAGGTCATTATGGTAGGCCTCCTGGCTTGGTCTGGACATATTTTTGCCATCTACATTTAGAATTCATACTAATATTTTCTTCCTGCAGCTGAAATTGTGGTGATCAAAATAAGTAATAGTCAACTTGTAAAAGTGACATTGTTTCTGGTTCTTTGTTTAGTCATTGTTATAATTACCTTTCCAGGGACCTCACATTGCATCTGTGACTCTAGCTGCTTGGGAATGTGACACTTTGGACTTCCCTGAACCACCTTACCCTGATGAGTAAGTTTATAATCTTTCTGTGGAGACCTCATGGTTAGTGCACTCACCTCCCGATCAAACCGTCCGGGTGTGAACCTTGGCTGGGGACATTGGGTTACGTTCTTGGGCAAGACCTTCTACTCTCACAGTGCCTCTTTCCACCCAGGTGTATATGGGTGTACTGGTGAACTTAATGCTGAGATGTAACCCTGCAGTGGACTACATTTAGAATCCCATCCAGGGACAGTAGAAATACGCTATTATTGGGGTGCCCATATTAAAAAGGGGCCCTTTAAATAAGAAAGTGACTAACTGAGCTTTTGTTCGGGCAGAATAATATGACCGTATAATGAGGTGGCGGTATTAGCAGGGTGGCTGTAAGGTGGCGTCCCACTGTACTAAGGATCTAAAGGCACAAAGATTTGGATGGTATTAGTATGCACTCATATGAAATTGTTGCCCCCCAGTATCCAGTGTCCTGACGATGATCACACCTCCACAGTACCGGTAAACATGTTGACGATTATGAGTAAAGTTAGGATAGAGGCTTTTATGTGGGTAAGTCATCAATAATTATTGAAAATATAATCAATCATGGCAAAGTTTGAAACAAGCTTTTTGAAATTGATGTTTTGACAAAAATGCTGCTAAAAACAATTTTTTAGAAGTTGTTCAATTTCCATACTTACGAAACAAGGGTCAGTGCTTTC